TTCTTCAACCTCTTTCTCACGAGCGAATGGTATGCGTCTGGGCCTTTGACGAATTGGCATTGTATCACCTGTGTTTATTTTATGCTTCACCAAACCAGTTCGGCCAATATCACCATCGCTTCTTGAAAACACATCAGAGAATCGAAGAAGTAAATTTCTAGCTTTCATAGTCTCCACTTTTGTCAGACTTTTGTTTTCGTCTAAGATTTTCGTTACAAAGTCTATTCCCGTACTGTCCTTCTTCACAAGATTCTCCGAGCATTTTCTTATCCAGGCCACTTCTTCCAATACGCCCACAGGCTCTCCTTCTTCAATCGTAATTTTTGAATCACTGAAGTTGAATACCGGAATGCGGTTGACATCAGATGACCCCACGACAGTTCTCGCCGGTAGCCATGAGTTTACGTGTTCCGATTTATCAATCACAGCGCACCTTAGAGGTAAACTTCCTTCCCTCCTCCTAGGTAATGCGATTGGTACGAGAGTCTGTGATTTTGGTTCAAGAACAGTTCTTCTTAAACAGCAAACTTTTCCCAGGGTTCCACCCTTCATCGGAATTTCCTCAGTTCCACATAGTAATACTCCAGATTTTAAGTCGATGTTACACTGGTGCCCTTGCAGGAAGTCAAGTCCCAGGATGCAGTCATCCAGAATTTTGGCCACAATAACCTCATGTCGATAAACACGTTCCCCAATTTTGATTGTTACATGCAGTTTTCCACTTATCGGTATGCACTGGCCGGTAGCTGATTTCATTCGTAGGCCAACAATTGGTTTAACGTGTTTCCTGATGTTTTGCCCGAGCAGCCGAACATTTATCACCGTCCTTGAAGCTCCAGTATCTAATGTTAGCTGACTGTTTTTCCCATTTACTTGACCGTCTATCACCAGAGTATTTCCATCGTTAGTTTGCTTGATGTAGATTGTTGGGGTTATTCCACTACCGGCCAGCGCCCACCCCGCAGCCCTGGCTGGATTTAGTTTCCCTGCTGGTCAGAAGTTGAGACCGCCGCGTCCTGGCGGTTCACCTTCCTCGGGCAGTCGCTCCGCATGTGCCCACGCTCTCCGCATCCATAGCACATGAAGTTCCGACGGCGTGGAGGTACCTGCTCCGTTGTCGTTATTTCCCGCAGACGTAAGGTACGGGAGTTACCACGCACGGCTTCCACTTCCAATGCATGGGCCAGAGCTTCTTTCATGTTCTTGTGATGGCCCAGATGAACAGCAGCTCGTACTTCGGGGTCCCGAACACCGTCAATGAATGCTTGGAGAAGCGTGCCTTCAATCATTGATGGAGTCGACCGAAAAGCTCGACGCACAAGTTTCTCGATTTCCAAGGACCATTGCTGTAGACTCTCATTAGCACGCTGAGTACGCTCTTTTAATTGCGCTCTGTACACGTGCTCGAGGTGGCTGTCTCCAAAACGTGCCTCAAGTGCGTCGAGGAGGGTACTAAAGCTGAGATCCCCACTTGCGCCGATAGCTTCCAGCACTGAGAGCGCTTGATCACGGAGGGCCAGGGTGAGGGCTGACTGTGCTTCCTTCTGAGTCCAACCATAAGCCTCCATAAGTGTCTCAAACTGTAGCTTGAACGCGGTCCAGGATGTTGTTCCGTCGTAATGGGGAATCTTCAGCCCTTTCGTTGCGCTTGAGGCCGCATTTGGGGCGTCAAAAACGGCTGCAAGACGGCTTCGGCTCTTCAAAGGGCTTGGGCTTGTCACTTCCTGCTTGATTTTGGAGATCTCTTCTTCCACTCTCTCCTCTATCGCCATGACGCGATGTTCCAACTTGCCTAAACCTTCCTCCACTTCTTGTACCCGTTCGACAGCCTTTTGCAGTCCCTTCGTGAAATCTTTATGCATGTCCTCCAAGCGACGCGCTTGCTCCTCTTGGCGACGAGCTTGATCTTCTTTCAGCTCCCGCAGCTGTTCTGACTGACAGCGTGCTTGCTCTTCTTGGCGGCGCGCTTGCTCTTCTTGGCGGCGCGCTTGCTCTTCTTGGCAGCGCGCTTGATCTTCTTTCAGCTCCCGCAGCTGTTCTGCCTGACAGCGTGCTTGCTCTTCTTGGCGGCGCGCTTGATCTTCTTTCAGCTCACGCAGCTGTTCTGCCATCATTTGCCGCAGCTGTAGCAGAAGATCCATCTGCACAGGCTTGGCTTCTGCATCGCTGGTCTGAGCTGCAGCACCCTCTTCCCTCACACGCTGCGCTTCTGACATAGCACGGGTACTCACTCCTCTTACGTCCTGCGGCACTAGCGGCATTTTTCTCCAATCCCACTTCTGACACCAAATGTTACGTGCCTGACGTCACGTTCCTGACTATGCGGGCTTGGGTTACGGGATTGGATGAAATGAAACACTAATACCGGTTTTCAGACTTTCTATTGCGCTTAAGTTACAGCGTCCACGGAGTTAAGTTATCGGCGTTCCTCTCCAGCAGAGTCCGGCCGACTGACACAACTTTGCCGTTCACGCTAACTTCACTTAACTGACTGCACTTCACTATTTCACTCACTTTTCTTCTTTTTCACTTCTTCCTTTTCTTCCGAATCGCTTTAGACTTAGAACTCAACTGCCAGCGGTGAGCCGCAGTTCCGCTTATATACCCCCGGTCAGGTTCTAGAACATTCAATTTCGTTATTCTTTTTTGATCGTCATGCCTCCAGAACCTTCCAATAATTTCGTTATTCATTTTTATTTATTCTCCTTCTCGCTCCTTAATTTTTCATTACTTTCACTCAAATATTCCAGAAAGTTCGACAAAACTTCCATCAACTAAAAAACTTCATGTTTACGGCGGAACTCGAACCCGGGGTCTCTGTGGTGTAATCCACACGCCTTACCGATTACACCAACTCAAAGAGTTTTCTGTCAAAGAGTTTTCTGTCACAATATGTCTAACGATTGATACTATTTAATAACGCAAGCCTTACTTTACGCTGGTTTTCTACAAGACTGCGGTATCTATTGAACAATACGATTGAGAATTCGTCCATTTGTGCCGAAACTTTGCTCTTCCACATTTAAATTTTGGGGAATGATTATTTAGCGTTTTCCACTTTGGTTGATATACTGGTAAATACGGTTACTGATAATACTGATAATACGGTTGGAGAAGAAGTTGGGAGAGCCAAGCTTCGGCATGAATGGGTCGGCTCGACCGGAGTGATACGGCGTCACATAATACCGACGTGAAATAACCACAGCGTTGTGTTTCGCCGTGTGAGTAAAGCTACCGGAGGCCCAATCCTTCCCTTCCTAATCCCAAAATCTCCAAAACTGTAATCCCTAAAAGGTCAGCAACGTACTCGTAACTCCTCCGTTGCGGGTGTCCATGGGCGACGCTGATTACTTACCATCAGGTAATCCGTCTGCTCGTTTGCCGACCTATTCCATAAAAAAAAGTTATACAGTTCGTCAAATAAATAAGATACCATCAGATGCTTAAATCTTTTAATTAAAATAAAGTCATACATCAAACATTCCTACGATATTTTAGCAACGTGATCTGTACGCGTTCTTATTTCGAAACCGCAGTGAGTGATCCGACCGCAATTTTCCAGTGCACTATAACATTTTCTTCTACATAATTAAGCAGTGCTGTGCAATATTGCAAAGTATTAACTTTATTGTAGCGAAAAATTAAGTAGGTATACCAGATTATTTCAGAGAGAAACAGACGTTCATGTTTTTTGTTCTGAATGTAGAGGAAAATTGCTTCATTTTTGTTCGTTGAGTTTCGGTTTGTGATGAGAGGTTTTATTTTCGATTCTGCTTTTATAATTTATTATTTTGTTATTATAATTCAATGATTGGCTAATAATCGGTGTCCCAAACACAATTAGATATCAAAATTCGTTCGTTATTGAGATTTTTTTTACTAAAATATCTTTTATTTTTTTAAAGAACAGCAGAATTCATGCCCAGATTTTAAAACTATTAACAAATCATGAAATATGGCTAGTCATTGATTTAGTGAAATTCTTCATGACCAAAAATTAATTGTTGTTGATTAGGTAGTGGGTACTTTGTTTTTGCTGATTACGATTCCTCGGAGTACACACTGTTCATCAAGGAAAAATAGGACCACGTTGTGCTGACCACCTGCGAACAAGTATTAGCAGTTTGACTAAGTATCTAAATAGAATTTGTAAAAATGGTTGAATTTGTAAAAACCATTTTATATATTCTTAATTAACGACGTATTATGCCCCGTGGTTTTACTTGCGTAATTTAGAGACTACATAATTATATTCACCAAGGATAATTTAACTTCCTAACGATGAAAGAAGTTTTCAAATCGGTCGATTAGTTTTAGGACCTCGTCAATTCAAACAAATAGACAATTAAATTTTTCGTCTTAGTAATGTTAGTACACATTTTGTTCCATCAACAGCTAAAACTTAAATAGCCGTAAAATGCACAATGGTTAGAGTCCTAATTGCGAGTTTAGTTACGAAACATTGATAGTGAATACTCACTTTAGTAAACATCTTCATAGAAACTTCAGCGTATCTAATTGAAGTCAAACAGCATGGTTTTTGAGATCTGAAACAAATATTGAGATCAAAATTTATAAGTTCCTTATTGCTAATGGTAAATGGATGTTATTTTTTAAGAATTAAATGCCAATCCAAGCGATCATTATTTTCCTAAAAAGAAAACGCTCTTTGGGGCTCTTTTTTCGTTTTAGAGGTAAAAATCGTCAAATTACTTTTCTTACCCTGGGTGTTGCACGAGGGAGTGTCAGACTTTTACTGACTAAATACAAAGGCCGGCCAAGGGATTACTTTTACTGCTGCTGGTAGTGCTGCGGTATGTTATTACGTTTGCAACTTCAACCGGCTTCTAAATTGCCGACTTGGCTGCCATTTTTATAGAATATCATATGAGGGACTGTCTGAAATTACACCCTAAGAACTCATCCATTCATTTTCCTGTTTCGAAACGACCTGCGGTACATATTTGCACTTATACTATTAACCCGAACTTTTTTTTTTACTAGGTTATGTCCCTCTGCTGGGCAAAGGCCTCCCCATCTCGCTTCCATACCTCCCGATCTGTCGACCGTGTCCACCAGTCTCGACGAAAGGCGTCTAGATGGTCACGCCGTCTTTTCCGGGGCTTATCCCGCTTGCGGTCTTAAATATATAAAATATATATACTACTTTTAATTTTTTTATTAGTACTAAACAAAAATCATAAAGAAATAATATTTCATACTTTTATATATCGCTTTCAAAAAAAACTAAAACAGACATTCACTTTTTATGATGTCCGAAGGACATCTAGCTTTATACTGTGACGATAAATCATTTTTATGATCGCCTGCACTTTAAAAGAGTTCAGAGAACTTTAGATATAAAATAAGACAATTAATTTAACGTCAATGTACTTGTAATAAGCAAAGCATAAAATATATTTTTGCTTAGCAAGTGAGGATTTGAGGGTAAGCAATCGGCGCTGACCTTCTATGATTATTTAGACACCACTGACATACGGTAAAGGTAAACATCGCGAGGAAACCTGGACTTATAATTTCTAATTATAAGTTTGAAATCGCCAACCCGCATTGAGCAAGCGTGGTGATTAATGTTTTAACCTTCTCCGTATGAGAAGAGTCCTTTGCTCAGCAGTGGGCACTTGTAGGCTTATGATGATGAATCGGAGCCACCCACGGGCATCCACAACATGGCCTTATGGGGTAAGGAATTTGTGAATTGGATGATTTAGCAATCATGAGGTAGGAATGTTCGTCCCACCTCGAATATACCTAAACAGATTAATTCTAATCAATTGGCTAAATTGCCAAATCTTGAAAATGTAACTCATTTGACTGATCAATTTAAAGTCTCAGTCTCTAAGCCATAAGGTTTAAAAAGTTTTAGGGATAAGAAGTTCTTATGTGTTTTACGTGCCCGTCTGACTGATAGGCAGTTTTGACCATCTGTTATCATACGAATCGAGATTTTGAACGAGTACCTAATTTCATTGATAGACATTGACTGATCGACAAAAAAAAAATGTTTGACTATTTTAAAGTATTATCTGGATTGATCGAAATGGAACGTGGGACATACATGCTATTATGGCATGGTTTTATATAAATAAAACTATGTTAAATACTATGTAGGTATTACCAATTATTAGTATTATCATATAATTCCTATTTTATGAAATCAATTGTGTCAATATTCTTTTAATGGGCTAGCCAATTAAATAATTATTTAAGCTGTGTATTCAAAATATTGTTACAATGCAAATAATGATATAAATAATTAGCAAAATTAAATATGTAAATACCTAATTATAATGTTGTATAAAATATTACCTGTTTTATGTGTATGATATTATTGTGTTTGTATTCAGGTACATAGGTAATGATTCTGAACTTCATTACTTATTATTCTGCGTATAATCGTTTCCTACATTAACATATGTATTTATGGCTATGACAGAAAATAATAAATCTTGCCAAAGTCGTAAGAGCGTATTGAGGGTCATGTCAAACGTATAGCAACGCGACGAACTGATAGAGGTCAGTGATTTCGCTATAAGTCGCATGCTTCTGCCGCGAGAGACACAGTATGGAATTTGTGTCTTACCGCGCAGAAAATAAAGTTGTAATTGATTAATTACAACAGCGTTCAATGATTTAATTAAAACCACGATAACCTGAACTCCTTTTCCGACGTCCATAGTCAAGCAGTGAGTTTGAAGAACCTATCGCGACCTATCTCACCTATCGGTTTGGATCAAGAGAAGGAAGGGGGTTACTAAGAGCCTGACACTGTCTCGCTTCACCCAGGGTGGGAGAAATCATTGAATGGTTATCTACCACAAAAAAGGTGAGTTTTAGAATCAATACGTTAACAAGTCGGTTTTGTCCGTCATACTTTCATGATTCAACCACTTCATCAATGTTAAGAAAGCTTCTATCTACTACGTACTAAAATAATTACATTTTAATGATAAAATATATTGCCATCTTATAGCGTCTGCTGCCTTGGTACCATAAATTTTCATAAGCTGTGTCTCCAATGCTTGAACTCTGAAAAAATAATATAATAATACATAAGTTAAGTATATAAAATAATGGAGCATCGCACATTTCTTTCCAAAAAACTAAAAGATTATGTTTAATTATTCAGAGTAATAAACTTAAATAATTTTATTATTAAAACTAATAAATACTAATTATACTACAAAATTGTTAAAAATTTACAATAAAATGCAAAATAGTATTTTTTGCACTTATGTAAAACATAAAAAGCATAATACATATTTATATATCAATACCAAACGGTGGTTGTAATGAATAATATAAACTGAAATGTCAGGATAAACAAAAATAAAAACATTAACAGATTTTTTATTTTAATAGTATTCAATGTATTTCACAAAATAGGTACCAAATTAATATAATGAAAATGTCAACGAACTCAAAAGTACCGCCAGCATACATAAAATTATCAGGAAAACAAACTTTTACTGTGCACGCTAGCAAGCAACTACTTCATAGCAATCTCGTTAATTAATGATACTTTGCTTAATAAGTATTAAAACTTTTACCGCACTTGTGAGCAGCTCGCCATAGTAACATAAATACAAAATTGTGAACATGGACGAAGCAATGCCTATATAACTGATCAACATATAACCCGGCCCTCGGGCAAACTGGAATGGACACAAAAAATACAAAAGGTTAACGAAACTGTTATGTTGAGCAAGTGTGGGCAGGCAAGCTGCGGCACGAACGGATCGGCCAGCAGCGCTGTGTTTCGCGCTGTATCTACCGGAGGCCCAATTAAGAAGGACCGTAGGCTCAGGAAGGGTAGGGTGAGAGCTACCCGTCACCCTTTCCTCCTATTCCTCAATCTCCGAAACACATATCCCCAAAAAACCGAAAGCGCACTGGTAACTCATATGGTGTTCTGTATGTGCATGCCGTATTACACCGTATTAAGCCAAGTCCAAGTTCTGGGGTTGCGAGTGCAAGCGCAACCATTTGTCGCGGTCTTGGCTCGGGGCAGGAGACGAAACAGAATGGTTTTTAGTCAGTAGGAGTCTGACACTTCCACGCCCTATTCAGGAAAAGTCGTTTGATTACTCACCTCAAAAGAAGCCCTTTTGAGTATTGCACCCTTTCAAATTGCAACCAGAGGTCAAAAAGTGATTGTAGTCACTGATACGGTAATCTATCTATGGACTAAGGCCCATTTCGCATATAATAAAAGTTAGGCATTCGTAGTTAGGCTATGCTTGGCTAAGATGTCTTACGAATACCTGCGATAATCTAACGAAAATTGATCTCGAAATCTCCAGTAGGATTCAGATAAATGCGATTAACAGGTTGAATGTCATGAGAAACAACATGTTGGCCACACAGCGGAGGATTTGCAATCAACAGCAATCCGTCGGCCGTCAATGAATTATGATATCTACCAAACCACAATACTTTTTAATGAAAATAAAATTTATTTATTGAACGTAAAAATATAATAAAAAATAAAATATAAAAACATATCATTTTTAAAATAAAGCTATATGTATAAATTGTGTTTTTTTATGCCTGGATTTAGTGTAACGTCGATTTTTTTATTATCATGCAATGTTAACTATTATATTTTTGTGTTGAGAGAAACGAGAAAAAGCAAATGTGGATGCTCAGTTCTTATTCAAATGTCGCAGAAGCAGTTTACACTCAAAGGAATTTTAATGTGTTTTTCTTTTTCAACTTCACAAGTTTCTTTTTTGCAACAAACTATTTATAATGTAACCCTCTTCGCGTGAAGCTTGGAAGTTTGAAACTGCTGTGTATTTCTGTTGTGTGACGTACTGGCAAAACACAAGCTTTTGTGGAGTTTGTTAAACATTTTTATTCGAGCTCAATTGTTTGGGAATGTTCTTTCACTGTTTTGAGAACGGTTGAGCGTAGCACAAATTGAACATGTTGTAGTACACAGAATACACAAATTTTAATAAAGTGCAGATTCTACCAGCGTCCTCATTTTTTACATAGTCAAAGTGCCACGAATTGGGTAAAACATTAAACTTTTTTGTAATTCCAACAGCTCTTTTAATAAAATGATTGTGGAAACTCAATTTACATACAAACGATTTGAATTTCGATGTCCTCTGAGGACTGTTAAACTTTTGAATATTTTTTCGTAGTTGTGTATTTTTATCGATATAGCTTCCAAAAATGAGTGAATTTCTTTTTAACTTTTTTTGATTTTATATTTTAATTCGTATTTTTTTAATAATCATGAATGTAAGAATGTTCAGGTTTCTGAATGATTTTGTTAGTTCTCTGTGTGTTATACATAGGTGCGAGAGTACAATAATATGTAAAGAATAATTTATTTCTCAAATTGTAAAACATATGTATTCATAAAAGTTTTAAAAGAGTGACTATGCAGTTCCATGCTCGTTTTTCTCCCTTCAAATCTACTATTCTACAAGTCTAAATACTATCTCAAATATATCTACAAATTCGAACTAGCACTTAACTACACCGACAAACATCTTGACGGACTATTACTTTTGACGTTTCGAAAGTACCTTTATATGGTTTAGTTTTACACAATGTTTTATTTTTACTTCAGATATGATTTAGAACAAAACAACGGCTAAACATAAATTACAAAACCAGGAACAAACTCTTTAAAACACCACGTTCTGTCTTCAATGTAATTCTGGTTTCATTGTTTTACTAAAAACTTTATACACTAAAGCATATTGACTTGATCAAACTCCAATGGTTTTGATCCAACTTTGCAACATTGGGCAACCACAAGCACGCCGTTTAACATGCAACAATAACTCACCTGTCCCATGAAACTGAAAGCACACGTCGTGATCCCAACAAACAAAAGATCTATGAATACTATCCCGTTGAAAACGTTATCCAACTGCCGGGATAACCTGTCAACAAATAAAATACATGTTTTATTTATGTCCACCCCGATGTCGGCTTTGGCGGCGTACAAGGGGGTTACACCGGAATACAGTTTAGATGCTAACAAACGGTTTTTTAAAAGAAACTTTGAATTTACTTGAAAACACTGTCTTTAGGATCTTTGCTTTGACGAATGGGTTGGCTCGACCGGAGTGATACCACCTCACACAAAACCAGCGTAAAACAACTGCAGCGTTGTGTTTCGCCGTGAAAGTGAGGTACCGGAGGCCATATCCTCATAAGGGAGGGGTCCCCCAATCCCTAAATCTCCCAATCTCTAATCCCAAGAAGGTCGGCAGCGCACTCGTTGCAGGTGTGCATGGGCGGCGCTTATTGTTCACCAGGTAACCAGCCTGCTCGTTTGCCGAACTATTACATAACAAAAATTGATATAATATTTTAGTTTCTAGTTTCAACTAAATAAAATAAAAATCATATCGCTTTAACAATTTGAAGTGATAATGACAAACAAATAAAGATATATTAGAAAGTTTGATTTTTAATAGATTAATAAAATAAGCTAATGATAAAATTCGGAAGAAAATTACGAGTGTTTGAAAGAAACAAAAAATAAGAGTAAATATTTTCGTCACATCATAAAAATAAGAAGAAGTAGCATCAATTATATTACATAGGCCATTGGTCTCGCAGGATGAAGACCTCGTTATGTAGGAAAAACTTTGGATAATGTTGGCTCAGGACCAGAAAAAGTAGCAGCCATAATAGAGATCGATTGGATGGGTTTCACCAAACTTGAAGTTGTCACAAACTAACATGTGACCAGAAACTTTTGGTTATACGGCCACTCATGTATTCAGCACAAAAAATATGATTTGTGCTGATTAAATCGTCTTGCTGTAATTAAAAGATGATATGTAAGAGAAGGATTAGTTATATATTACGTATAACCAACTTAAAGTTTGTTCTGATGCACCATTACAATTAGAGTTCACGCTTTGCTTATTAATTTTAAGCTATATCTTCCATTTACATTTTTCTGGTCATGCTTTTATATGCTACTAGTGGCCCGCCCCCGCTTCGCACGGGTCCAAGTATCTCGCTATAAAAGGGTCACTTTTTCCTAATGTTCCCCTCTACTTTTCTAATATTTTCTTATGATAAGAATCTTCTCCTGACAATAACAAATATAACAAAAAAGAATTAGCAAAATTGGTCCAGTCGTTGTTGAGTTATGCGCTTACCAACACATTTTGCGATCCATTTTTATAAAAGCAATATAAGCAAGCGTAAGACGAAAAACCAATTTCTTTACGTGTTGTCTATTTAAAACCTATAAAAAATAACATTAAAAAATAGGACTTACTCCAACAACTTTTGGTGTTTTTTCACAAATTCTTCTATAGGAAGATCTTTATTTATATTATAATTTTCATCCAATTCATCTGTATTACTTATAGTGCCGCAGCTTTCTGGCTTGACGCGAGCCAAATCATCTTTGAGCATCAAAAATTCTGCTCCTAATAGCGCACAGCACGATATCATTATCAATGCAGTTCCAGTATACAAGGAAACTAGGAGAAACACTAAAAAAAAGTTTATGTTAAAGAACACATACACATTGTTATTGAGTCGTGGTGGCCCGGAGGTTAAGGTGCCCGCTTCTCAAGCATGAGGGTGTGGGTTCGAAAACTGGCAAGTACCGATGTGACTTTTTCCGAGTTATATGTACTTTCTATGATTATTTTGACACCACTGACATACGGTGAAGATAGACATCGTGAGGAAACCTGGACTTAAAATTTCTAATTATAAGTTTGAAATCGCCAACCCGCAGTGAGCAAGCGTGGTGATTAATGCTCTAACCTTCTCCGTATAAGAAGACGTCTTTGCTCAGCAGTAAGCACTTATAGGCTGATGATGATGATGATGATGATGACGTTGCTGTTGTGAAGTTTTACATACAATAAAGTTTACATGAGCATGTACTAATTTCCAAGGTAATTCTTTTTTCAGTTGCCGAAGTTCAATACAATGGATTTGTCATACCAGTATCATGAGATACCGGTAGATTTATGTGACGTGTGCAATACGATCGAGGTACTACAATGTGAGTGATGGATATCTAGAGACAGAACTACGAGCGGCCATTAGCAGTTAATGCCAAGTGCATTGACCGATCTTCATGCTGATACCGATACTATCTTGGAACTTGGAAGTTCATTGATATAAAATATAAAGCATAACCAATAAAATTTAATTGTATAACAAATTCCTAGCAATCCTCAAAAGCCATAATAATATGCTCATGCTCATAGCCCTCACTGGAATTGATAACGTTAAATTCCAAATAGTATAAGGCTAGCATTTTGTCCACGACTTCGTCCATGCAGTTTTGTAGAATTTGAAATTCAATATTATTTAGTGAGAAGATTTTTCTATGTTTTTTTGTTTTTCTAATTATTAATAATAATGATTACCAGACATATCTTCTCATTCGGCATGCAGATCGGCATTTCTTCTCAGAGTAGTCAGATAGGAAATGCCGGCTTCATCTAGTTTTTCACATATAAATTAACGAGTAAAAGTGCCGTTTTATAGCCTAATTGCAAAAATAAATTCATTGTTTCATTGTTTCACATAACACTTCTACAGTTAAACATACTGACCTCACCCAAAACTTTCAAATTGTTTATATAATGGAATTTACAAATAAATAGGTAACAATATACTAATAATAAATCAATCGTCCCTGTCCATAATACATACAAACTTAGTACAATATTTAAAATCAATTTTTTCTCAGATATCTATAACTACAATATCGACACGGGAAGCAATAATAGCTCTTAAATTTACTGGAGGAATTTCTACTTACTGGAGTATAACTGAAAAATGTATATCAGGAGATAGTACAACCAATTGTTAGTATGATCTAATGGAAAGTCCGAAGCAAATGGTAGGAGTAGTTCACAATCCTGTTTTAATACAAATCTCCGAAACAAAGTTTCAAATAACGGCGATAGCAAGTATTGAGCTGAACCGGTCAAGCTTGCCCAATAGCTGGCTGAAATTTAGGAGCACATACATGTTCTTGGTTAACGAAAATTTATTAAGGCTACTGGTATCTTGTAAAATTGTTACAGAATGAGCGTTCCTCAATATCAGTTACAAATACATAGATTTGAAGCTTAGCTCAGGCAAATATTTATTGCCTTTTGGGTATTTTCTTCCAATTGCGAAAAAAACTCAAATAATTTCCTTAAAGTGAAACAGGACTTAATTAATTCAGTACTAAGGAAATTTTTATTTGGCTTAAACCTTATTTGTACCATGAAACTTATGTATCTGTATATTTCATAGTTTTTCTGTGAACCAAAAAAGTTTTAACTAAATCTTATTAAAATAATTCAGGTTAAATAAATTTAAATAAATCACCTCTGTTGACAAAGTCGAGCCTCCACAGTACACCGTCTTTAGCTTTGAACTGTTTTTCAGTAAACGCAACTCTCCAGAGAGAGCCAAGCTCTGATATAAACGTCGATATCTGTCTCGTCATCGGTATTAGAACTATCGATTTGAGGACGGCTGAAATAAAAAATAATTCTTTGGAGGTAAAATCGCTGCTTGTGATTAAAAAAAGATTTTTGGATAGTATTTATGAAACGTTGCATTTTACGCACGTGTTATACGATAGCATAAAAAAACAGTCAATTTTACACACAAAAATTCGTGGAATTTATCTAAATGGATAAAACCACACACACATAATTAAACATTCCGTATATTATTTATAAAATCTACGATTTCCTTATGGACAATAATGAATGGATATTTCCAGGTACAGTATTGTACTAATTTCAATCCTATTTACCGTGTATAGTAACCAGAATAGAAGGTATCAGGTATGCAAACTGTGTCATCTCATCTTCCGTCAGCAGCTCTGGCATGTGAAAGCCCAATGAGAAAACATGAATGGAGATAGTAACAAATATGTACGAGAAACGCCAGTATTTTTCGACAAATGAATGATTTTCTTCCAGATACCTGTGATCGAGAACAAATTATTATTTTAATATCACATAAAGGTTCCATATCGTGACTTATATTTTTACAGGATAGTGGAGGACAGGTGCAAATCTTCAAGAAACGTGCGCACTCCTTTTTATAAGGCCGGCAACGCGCCTGCGACTCCTCTGGTGTTTCAGGTGTTCATGGGCGGTTTGCCTCCGAGCGACTAAAGTGGTGACTGAGTTGCGGCCTATCAGGGGTTTTGAATTTAAAGATTCGGGGAATTATGGAAAGAGAGGCATATTAGCGCTTCCGCTTACGCTCTAGTAACACAACAAAAAACAAAGAAAGTTTTATTTTACGCCGGATTTATATAGAGGCGTTGTATCACTGCGGTCAAGCCGGGCGTGCCGATGCGGCTTTCCAACAATGGACATCTACGAAGTTTTATCATCCAATGCGGGATTTACTTAGTTTTTTAAAATCTACTATACTATTTTGTTGCGTAATGAGTTAATTAAAGCTAGCTGGATAGCTTGAAAGTGTGACTTTTTAGGTACTTAACAGTTATGAATCAAATTATTGATTTTATAAGTAATTGTGATATTCCAATTGAAATTCTAACCCGAGTTTAAAGTTTATCAAAGTTTAAAAAAAATTAGAAGTAAAACACTTTCACTATTGAAAAATAGGAATAGCTTAAGAGATTTACCCTTATTTTTGAAGTCGAGAAAATGTATATGTAGTTACCTCACGTTAAAATTCTTCAACAGTTCAAAACTGGTCTTTAATGCCTTGGCGAAATCTTCAGGGAAGTCTTTGAGAACATCCATTGTAACTGAGTCTGAGTGTGATCGATTGTTGAAGCTAAAATGATGTATTTTTCCCCAGGTAAATGTTTGTTTGAATCAAATTAAAAAAAGGAAATATTCAATCATTTCCTTCATTATTTTTTATAGGGTTCAACATAATTTTTGGTGTCTTTTGGTATACTAAAACATGTTAAATTGTTGTTTTTATTACCTTTAAGGTAAAACATGTTTTGGGTCAAAAAAAATGACAGAACGTTGGCGCGGAGGTTGGGCAACTGCAAGGTGTCACGGGTTCGATTCCCGCACGGAACATGTCTTTGTGTGATCCACAAATTGTTATTTCTGGTCTAGGTGTGACGTGTATGTGAAATTGTATGTAGGTGAGCAATGGAAAAATTGCGCATTGGCAGCGAAGATGCCCTTTTGGTCGCTTAGTCAACTGAGTAAGTTCTTTTCACTACACAAGTTAGGAACTCCATATCTCATACTTTTCTTGTGCTTTAAATAACAAACAAATAATTTTGTATATTCCAACTCCACGTAAAAAGAGGCCTTTTCTCAGCAATAGATGAATGACAAATAACTTTGTACTGTTGACCCTACGGAACCAATACTCCTTTACTGTTATGATAGTAGAAAAAGCTATATAATTTCACTAGTTCCCTGCGGGGTGCACATTATTTTCTATTACCTTCATGTCCTAGGCATATTATTTGTTCTAGACGTGTTATCTAAGAAATTGCCTATGAACAGTGTAATACAACATACTGTATTTTTGCACCACAGTGTAATCAAAATAAACGGTGAAACGGATTTTATTAAAACCGAATTAAAGTTTTATTATTGTTTGTTTCCTTTACTCAAATCATGTTTGCTTTAATTTGAGTATTGATGTATATTATTGCATTATGTATATTTATTGGTTTTATTTCTTATTTATACGTTTCTGTTTTGTTTATATTTTCTTTTCGTTTATTGTAAAATACAATTTCATTTGATGGTTTATTTTTCCATCACAAATAACGTCGTCAAAATATTATTCAATGTTCATTGTTTTTTGTAAATATTTGAAGATTTTGTAATGAAAAATAAAATAAGTTAATTCTGAGTATTTACACACACGACATAACTTCATGCATATTGTTTTAGTTAAATCTTCGCTTAAGAGGGATATAATTAAACTGTTCTATCCATATAATAGTCCTATAAATTATATTAGGATCAACATACTGAACTGGGGTAACGCTGATACGCTGTTAATGACATTCAAATTGCACTTCTATTGAGAATACAATACAGTACAATATACCTAATACTTCAATGGATATAACAATGACATGGCGTAGGATGAAGCTGTAGGATGTTCTAGCACAAATATGTACAGATATTTCAAATCGAGATTCGATCAGAAATGAACTTTGCCTGAGAGAAATACTGGACATACATTGTTGGAACAATAGCGACGCCTCTGTGACAAAGTCAGGAATTCTGTCGTGCCGTGTTTTCCAGGACATGTCGTATAAAAGAGATTGCATATCCTCAATTGTAGATCACTTGTTTTCAACCTGTAGGATGAACTGAACTGGGAGAAATCGAGCATCATTCTTTATAACAACAATTACCGTCATTATCTTTGCAGCTAGGAAGATTTTTCTATTGCAAAATATAAAAGCAAAATTATATTAATCTTCCCATAACCGTACTCCGATTTACAGCGTGAAAAAAGCCAGTATATTTCCAGGGATTCGAGCTTGGCACATGACAAACGGGTACAATGTATTTACGATACAAAATGTATGATTTCAGATCAGTTGTTGTTGAAATATCGCCGAGAATCCGCTATTGCCGCTGGTAAATGCTCACTTTGAGGCATTACCGAGAGTTTTATACTTATTTTCCGTTTTATTTGGCAATTCAATAGAAGATAAGTTATCATTCTAGTGGTATGTTTGTAAAGGAAAGATTTTGCCAAATGTTTATTGTATTATTTTTCATTTTTAATTATTGTCATTGGTGTATTCTTGTAGTATTTGAGATTGACGAGCACAATGTTTTAAATATTTTTGCTGGCTTAACCATAACATAGCACGATACACATACTAAAATTCTATGAGACATGATCTAAGCATGTTAATATATTATTGCAAATAATGAAAGCGAATGTTGCCTATAATATGTATGTTTTATCAGTACAAACTAATCAACCAATTAATTAATATATCTTTATCGGACTGAAAACAGATCTGGCTTTATAAGATAATAACTACATATATTATATTCAAGTAAACATAAATTTCTTAGGAAAACTACTTCACAAATCAAAGACCCGTACTAGAAAATTAATTAACACGAATAAATCATTGATTTATTAGCACAGTCCAAAAACAATTCGTCTTTGCGAACCGTACACCTATTCTTTAGGCATACGCTTCTAAAATAATTTATTGGGTACGGTGTAACGTTGCCGAAATCCATTATGAAAATAATGGGACCCCAGTACGGGGACTGAGGTAGAGGCCTCGGATGTCCGCCCCGATTAATGGAACGAACAACAAAACTAGTCATGGTTTTGAATAAATTTAACGTGAATTCTGACCTCCCAGTACAGTGTCTAGGGATGAATATTGACCATCGATTTTTGGAAAGACACTATTTTGGATGGTATTACGAACTATTCTTAAATAGTAACTATCTTAACACAACTTCATTTATTGAAAATAACGACTTACTCATGTAATTAATAAGAAAAAGAGCTAAAAGCTCTATAGTTGACTGCACTCACTAAGACTCCCGTTGTAACTTGAAACTAGTAGAGCTTTTCTCAGTTAATTTCAAATTTATATTACGAACATGACACGAATTTATACAAAACTTTTTCTTTCAATTGTTTAAGGACTTTCCTTGGCTAGTATAAACAGCTCATCATCATCCATTAGTGGAGACCTTGTTATCACTTTCTTTCCGGTCCGGTTTTTATTGCTGGTTAGTGTATTTCAGTAGTTACCCCTTGTTTATTCCATCGTCCGACTGTTTTATAAGCTTTATTTGTACTATAAGTATGTTAACGTCGTCGTGGCCTGGTGGTTAAGACGCCTGCTTCTCACGCATGAGGGAGTGGGCAAACCTGACAAATACCAATATGACCACCAAGTAATTCATCTGCTCGTTTTCAGACCAAAGAATATTATAAAAAAATATCACCTAGCTTGACAGGCGCGTTGGAGGTCGCAGTTTAAAGTTTCAGTTTTACCAAAGAGTGTAAGCCTTTGTTGCCTCTCATCCCATCCAATGGAAGTGCAGATATCATTTATATTGTTCTCTAACAAAGCTTTATATTAATCAATATTTAGTTGGGGCTTATGGACACACCTCTCAACCACTGAAGCAAAGCAAAACATAAGATTATTTAACTAATTCCTTTGTAATTAAAAGGTGGGCTTATTTGTCGAACATTGGGGTAAATACCATACCCTATTAGTCTTATATTATGATGAATGGCTGTTGCCATGCATGGGAAAACTATATTGAATTTTTTAGTTTATTTGCAATACAAAAACTTTCAAATACTTTCGGATTTTTAGGGTCAAAATCATCATGTTTCTTCACTTTTTCACACTGAGTGGAACGACAGGTAATGTCAGACTCTTATTGACTAAAAACCACCTCTATTCCTGTCTCAAACTGGGACTATGGTACGTTATTGCGCTTACACCCGTTAGAATAAATCTTTTAAGCAAACCTTTAAACACTTAAGTCCTTAAGTCCACCACCTTCTTATAAGTACCCAATAAACATGTTCATATAAATTACGTTCTATAGGTAATCAAAGTTGTCTGTCGCTATGTAAGCGACTATTCAGAGTGAAACAGGGCCTTAATTAATTCAAGATTTATTTTAGTCGGTTGTCTTTAAGTGCCTTAAATATTAATTGAAACCCCCTACAACGTAATTCTCGACGGTCCATTGTCATAAAACTCTTAAACAACTAAACTTCAAATTAAATACTTGTCATTGATAAAATTAATAGCAAATCAAAACAATTAATTGAGAACCTAAAGTTAAGAGGGAAACGGTTAACTTTTCATCAATTCAAAGAGTTTTCAAAGTTATTATTGATATTTTCTCATCACGGACAAAATTGCGCTGAGCGAAACATAACCTGGATTTTGCATCGACGGCATTTAGCTAAATGGGGCAAATTTATAAAGACTCAGCTTTATCAGCTGTTGGTTTTGATTTTTAAAACTCTTCTAATTATCGTTAGTTCGCATATCTGGTACAGTGATTGACTGCTGACTGCAATAGATCTTTGACCTTATTTTCTGCATTTCTGGTGAAAAACATTTGGTATTGCTCCAAAATTGCGGTGAGAAACCATGGCAAGAACAGCAATAAAATCACCATCATCACCAGTATAGACCAGTTTAAGAACTTTTAAAATAATCAAATTTATATTTTTAAGTATTATTTATCAAGCCAAGGCGACCCATGCCTTCTTGACTCGAGTCATAACACGGCCTCACATAATACTGACTTATGTTTCGCCGTTTTGAACGTCTTTTCCGTGTCTTCCATTTCCAATCTCTAACCACCCACAAAAGGATGGCAATGCACTTGTAACAAACACCTTTGGTATTGATAGTCACTGTCCATGGACGACGCTGATTGCCTACCATCAGGTAAACCTATCCCATAAAATATAAAAAAATATTTTTTTAGGAATAATATAACATTTTTGGAAATATGACAATAGGCACCCTTGAGAATGTCACAGCTCAGACCGATCGGTTATGGGGTTATGATGGATGATAGAAATTTGATGGATAGAAAAGAAATTAGATGGATGGTATTGTTGAATATTACCATAAAATAAGTGGATTGTTTTATAACTCTTTCTTCACTACCTACCTAAAATCTACCTGCAAATACAACTAGACAACAAAGAAACAGATACTGTGTGGTACTTACCAGGTTTCGAACCCCTTTGTGTCTAGACTGTTAATTTTGTAGGAAATTCATTG